TTTCTTCAAAGACCAGTAAAAAAACCTGTAATCTTCATAAAGGAGTTACTGGTGTACTGCTGCCAGTAGTCATTGTGTGATTTGGGGTTTTAAATGGTTAGTTAAGTTACAAAACTAACACCCAATACCTAACAGGTTGAGACCAGAAATTCCCCTATTCTGCCAAAGGTCAAATGACCGTTTTTGTTCAGGGGAGTCTGGTAGATTTGGCCAAAGCAATATAACAGTTCCCTGTGAGAAAGGGCTGTCTGAAAGCCAGGTGAAGCGTTTGTAAACTATTCTAAATATAGTGTTTTGCTGGTGCTTTTTCCACAACTAAGCTGTCATCTTTAAATACCTCACGGAACACGACCTGAAAAGACGCCCCGAAATGCCCCTTTAATGTTAAGTAAGCTCAAAATAAAAGCCTAATGGGATAAAGATAAGGCTTGTTTGCAGGTCGTGTGTGAGTCCGGACGACAAGATTACTCACCAGATGAAAGCAGGATAACGGCCTGAAGAAGAGCCACTTCGGAGTCGTCCAAGTTAAAGGACGACAACGACACGCCGAGGTCAAAGATGGCATCCGAAACCACGCCCAGGCCTCCGTTTTTAAGCTGTCCTCGCGTGACGGCCATCTCTCCGTTGAGCGTCAGGGTTTCACTCTCTGGGTCGTATCGGACCGCCGCTCGCAGAGACATGATCTCCATGCAGCAGCCTTTCAGCAGTTTGATCTGGTCTTCACAAGGCAGCTGGAAGTACGGGAAGAAAAAAATTAGTGTTAGCGGATCACAGAGCCTTTTCATTCATTTCATTCTCCTTTGGAATCGTCTTCCATTTCAGATCCGCGAAGCTATTTCCTTTAAAACAGGGGTGTCCAACTTTTTTCACTGAGTGCCACATACAGAGAAACATACGAAGGGCTGGGCCACTCACTAGAGCAGGGGTTTTCAAAGTGTGGGAAGGTGAGCCTCCCCTCAGAGAACATAAGAACAGCCGCGCCCCCCCTCCCAATTATTATTGATATTATTATTATTGTTGTATTCAATTGCATTTCAAAGAGGTCCAGTAAGAGAACATGTCATTAAATGCTCTGTTTTCGCTGTCTACAGTCCTCTTTTTTGAGCACGCCATTTGAAATGACTCCGAGTGTTTCTCTCTTCTTGTCTCGTCTCTGTGTTTGAATCCATCGTGCTGACTCACTGACTGCACCGGTTTGATTGGCTGAGTAGCGTCACCTCCTTAAAACATTAAACAACAACTTTTTCAAACATTTTTAACATTTTCAACATGGTGGATAAATCCTTATCTGCTTCCGGCAACACACTGAACGTCAACTTTGCCTCCTTATTACACTCAGCCCTACTTTAGTGGGAACAATGAGTCTGCGTCTTTGATGCGCACAGGCGGATGACGCGGGGATGCAATGTAGACGGGAATAAACGCAGATCATCTTCTGGCTGCTTGCTTTTGATCAAAGTCAATGCGGAAAACCTGCACTCACACAGGTAGGTGGAGGTGGGGGAACTCGGTCTCCACAGACAGCCAAAAGTGTGCAAGTGACGTTTTCTGCCAGACGCTGTCTCCTCTCTCACTTTAGGTAACTTCACTAAAAATCGATCCATGTTGCCGCTCGCATAAAGTTAGCTGAAGTTAACTAGCTAGATTTCACTGTTTCTCGTAATTTTTTTCTGACGCTGCGCTCCCCCGGGGGGCGCCAGAGAGCTTCAGGGGAGGCGCAGCGTCAGAAAAAAATATCACTTTCAAAACCGCTGCAATCGAGGATTATTGCCTCATAAGTTCAGTTATAAGTTAGCAAATCAATCAAATGCTTGTGAGTGTTGGCAGCTCATCCCTTAAAACAGAAGCCTCAGAGTATATTATAATAAGGAGAAATATGAAGGGTGTATTTCAAGCTTGTTATGTGAATAATTTATTAGGCTTTTTTCTCATCAACTAAGATTTGTTAGAAAATGTTCCCAACTTTAATTGACTGAATTTATTTGAAAAGTGGTCTTATTAACACATGAATACTACTGTGTGATATATGTTTACATTCATATTTAAGAAGTACAATATAAGACAAGCACAAGTTTCATTTGAGGGCCATATTTCATTATACTTTTTTAATTCGAACAGCCCTTTGAGGCATTTCTTGTGATTTGGGGCTATAATACATTTTGATTTGATTAAGAGAAAGCACGCAATTCACTTTAATAAGTGGGGAATTCAGACTCATGCTAGCTAACTGGTAAAATGGAGAATACCATAAGCATAAGTAATCCATTTAAGTTAGTACAATGCGTTACTAAGATATTATGATTAGTTCACTGTATAAAAATGATAGACAAATATACTTTACAATAAGACTACCCTTATAACGAGTTTACGAATAGTTTGTAATTCATTTATTAATTAGGTTGTGAACACTTTATGAATCATTAATAAGCTTTTATAAGACATGAGATAAACAGGGCAACTGTGACCGGTTGCTTGCCAAATAGTGAGCCCATATTTATCTGTACTGCTAAGTCTTATTATAAATGGTAGTAACTCATTAATACATGGGAATGTGTTTTACACTTTACAATAAGGCTCCCTTTTGGCAACTATAAATGTTAGTAACTCGTAAATAAATGGTCATAAAGAGATGCCAAGAGACATCAAGATGGATGGGGGCAGTGGCGGCGCCAGAGTATTTGTGTTGGGTAATCTCTGGTAGGGCTAACCCATACCGTGGTGGGGCTCAAGTCAGTATTTGCAATGTAATTACATACACGCTATATCGCCCCCTCGACAGTGAAACGCCACGCGTGAGGTTTAGATTATTTCCCTGTCTCAATCAAAATGGAACTGTATGAAATAAAACGGCACATTTGTCTTGTACTAAATAAAAAGGGATCACTGTGAACGTGACGTATGATAGGACACGTTGAAGATCCAATGGGGATACTGAATGGCGGTTCCGATTGATCTCTTCAGTAATGCATGACGCAGACCCAACGTTTGGTTGCTCTGATTGGCTGTAGGTCTATTCAAATTGCATTCGGAGGCATTTTGATCTGACCGCGGCCGCGCTGATATTATAACGCCAGAGAATTTCCACACCTTTAGTGTATAAAACTCCCCCACTACTTAGACTATTCCTTGCACCCCTCATCTAGCATAAGCCCGAATGGTCTCAACCATATTGCATCAGTAACGTGCACTTGTTGTTACAGCAGGATCAGTTTGTGTATTGTGGAAACGACCCGTATATTTTCGCAATCCGTGTTCTCAACATGCTTACTTTAACATAATTTTTCATGGTGGGGCTAAGCCATCTCTTGGTATGGCTGTAGCCTACCCCAGCCATACCCTGGCGCCGCCACTGGAATGGGGGAGAATCAACTCAGTGAACAACAGATACCAAGGATGCTGGCTGATGAAGAAGACGAAGTAAGCTAATTAGCCAAAATAAGGCTTAGCAGTACAGATAAATGTGGGCTCACACGCTTGATTCTCGCTAAGTAGCCAATATAAGGCTTAGTCATCTTGCCAAATAGTGAGCCCACATTTATCTGTACTACTAAGTCTTATATTGGCTACTTAGCTTACTTCGTCTTCTTCATCAGCCAGCATCCTTGGTATCTGTTCCTCACTGAGTTGATTCTCGCTAAGTAGCCAATATAAGGCTTAGTCATCTTGCCGAGTAGTGAGCCTGTGTCGATGTATGAAAACTATGTTAGAACTGGTTTATAAATGGTTCGTAATGATTAATCAAGTGTTTACAACCTAATTCATAACCTAATTAAAAACCCTTTATGAATCCTTTATAAGGCTAGTCTTATTGTAAAGTGGTACCCTTTAATGTTATATACAATTACATTTATCATTTAGCAACTGTTTGCTTGCTAACTAACCAAAGGGCTAATCATGAGCATTAGCTATACGTTAACATGATAAATAATGTTTTATCAAGACATTAAAATTAAGTTAACCTAATAGAGTGGACAGAAAAAAAATGTGGACATTTAATTCCCAATAAATTCATATTTTAAGTGTAAAATCAAGCATAAAAGTCAGATGGCAAATACTGTTAGCTTTTGCTATAGCCCACATTCACTTTGTTTTATTAGGATAGTATTTTGGGTAATAATTCAACATGGGAAAAAAGGATAAAGAAATGGAAAATGTAAAGTAATCTTTCATGGAAAAAGGCCTCTGAAATATGGAGATTCTCTATTTTCTATGACATGAAAGTGATAATCTATACGTTTTTGATTGACATTTAAAGACATCAGTTTGAACTATTAGTAACTTGCATTTTTTAGCATTTTACTGACACTTTTCAGACTCAAAATGACCAGTAAATCTATAAAAGATTAATTAATAAGGAGTAAGCCGAAGCCCTAATTGCAATTTGTCTCAGTCAAGCTGTTTTATGCAACTTGCAAAACCTAAATCCACAACTTTTGAAGGGGTCTGTTCTAATAAACCATGTGTTTCCTAAATATAATTGTGCAATGTGGCACTAATGATATGTTTAATTAGAGACAGTTCGAACAGTCCTCTTTTTTTCACACTTACATCACAAAACATAGGCAGTTTTTTGGCAAAGTCCACCACTCGGGTTATGGCAGGGGTGATAATTTTTGTAAACTGACTGAAGGCTTCTATATCCACTTTGTTGTCTTCCGGCGTATTGACCATCGACGCTTGACCAATATCCTCAGGCTGAAAAGCAAAGAGCAGAGCGGTAAATCAAAAAGCACAAGGAAATGGTTATCTTAGCATTATGTGTCAAGAGATTTGAGGTTAAGTGTGAAGTATTTACTTTTGATTTAGTTGGTTTTGCACGGTCTATATGTCGTAGGGATGCATTGCTAGACATGTAGCTTGTAATTCAATGCATGTAAATGGAAATGAACATTTTAGTTTCCATACCTTATCTTCCTTCACCCCTGCAGCACTCTGGTCAGAAGTATAGAATAAATTACATGTTATTTCATTAAGAAGCATTGCTTCCTCGACCTGTTGGATAATCAACAGGAATTGTGAAGTTTCAATGAAGAACCTGCGTCAAGCCAACTAAAAAGAAAATATGTTAAACTGAAGAGAGATGAGAGCGTGAGCAGGTAGAGAACAGGTGAGCAGAGAAATTCAAGATGGGTTTCTGTGGCAAGATTCAGACTCAGGACTTCGATCCGGTCAAAAACACAAGACGACGCAGGATTTGATTTCTGTCGTGAATAACAGACGCATTTTTAAATAATGTCTGATAGGCGTGACGGGACATTTGCATGAATTTAATCAATAAGTTCTCATGTTTTTCAACGACGTAAAAGCACATTTACGGTATAATTTGGCTGAAAAGCACAGGATAAAATCGCAAATATTGTGAATGGATTCCTTCGTATTAGAGAACTGTAATGTCACAAATGTTAAAGTGACTTTCCCGGAAAATTTGACAAAATCTTAAGTCACTTATTTCAGAAAATTACGAGATATGCGGTAAAAATTGTCTTTCGCTTTAACACCCGTTAAAAACATTTATTTTAGTGCTTTCTCACACTTGACGACGCAGGAAATGTTAGATTTGTGTTATAAATAACAGACGAATATTTAAATAATGTCCAATAGGCGTAACGGGACATTTGTACGACTTTAATCAATGAATTCTCATGTATTTCCACAATGTAAACCTGAGTTTCCAGCTTTTTGGTAGGAAACAGCAAGATACAATTGCAAAAATAGTGAATAGATTCCTTAATATTATTCGTGTTAAGTGACGCATGTTAAAGGGAATTTTAAGTCGCTAATTTCAACATTTTTCGTAAATCGCTTTAATGGCGGTTTAAAAAAACGTTTCAATTGAAGTGTTTTGTTCTGATCGTGCCACAGAAACCCAAAAGTCAACAGTGGAAAACATTTAATAAATCTGGACAAAGCGATTAGTTTTCACAACAAAATTAGTCAAAGAATAAAATAAACAGTGAGGTGTGAAAGCTACAAACACAGAGAGAGAGAAAAATGAAAAACAGCACAAAAAAAGCAAGGTTATTAATATTAGCGATAGTATTATCATTGCATAAAAAAGACGAAAGTAGGATGTTCCATTATTGCGTTGAGGAACACACTTGTGCTCCATCGTCCCGCTAACTTTCCCCACTCTACAAGGGGATACAAAAAACACATGGACATATTAACACAGGGAAACAGTGGAGGAGGTGGTGGGGAAACAGGAAGGTCTGTGAGGTTTTTTTTGTGGCTGTTTTTAGCGAAGCGACGGAGGCGTTTGCGATGTCTCACCAGGAATTTCCGCTTCTGTTTCCAGTGGTTTCCTTGTGCGTTCGTGGTCATGTGGGCGTCCGTCACCATTCGGATCAGATCCCACTCCTCCTGCGTCGGTTCCTGGCGATCCCACACAGTCTTCTGGAGTTCTTCTTTCCGACGGCGTTGCCGGTTTTCCTCGATCAGTTTCCTCTTCGCCAGCCTCTTGCTGTCGTTCAACACCACTGAGAAGGGAGAGGAAGAAGCAGCTAGAAGAGGTTATTCCACAAATATCCAAAAAGGTCTTTAATTAGCAACACATTTTAAAACCTAATGCCTTTCTTTTATGTCAATTCTACATTTCATTCTACTTGTATGTGTCTATATCCGACATGTTTTTAAGTTACATTTAATAGTAATGAATGAATGCATGAATTATTTTACTTGTTTCTCTTTTTACACTTTATTAGCCTGTTAAGCCCCAAAGCCCCCGTCGGCGGGTCTTTTTTTCCCCTCACAAAAAAAAAAAAAAAAAAAGTTTATTTTTAATTTTTTATTAATCTTTTTTATTTAATTTTTTTTTCTTTGGATGGAATGAATACCTATGGTGATAATTCAATGTAATACATCATTTTTATAGTCTGGTACCTGAAAAAGGTCAAATGGCACTGATGGAACCAGATGTACCCAAATGTGCCGAAAGCTTATTCCGCCTGGAACTTTTTTTTGCTAAACCTCTCTAAAAAGGTCAGATTTCACTTGTTTTGCATCAATCTTGATACAGGGTACTTATTATATGTTATAGTTTGGATTCCTAAAGCTTTTAGTCTACCATCCCATCATTCAAGGGTGGTTTTCACTATAAGTAATGTTTTTTCTTTAGGCGGAGGTAAGAATTTACCTTTTTTTACTATGTTCCATCTGGATTTACTCTGACTGAGAAAAATCTATATTGATTCTGACACTCCTACATCCAACTCACAGATGTAACCTTGCTTTGATAAAAGAAATTCATATAACCCTTTTAGAAGTTAAGTTGTAGTCATTTGTTTTGGGCATGTCATTTTCGAGCCTGAAACCTGAAAAACAGGCTCGGGGCTTAACAGGTTAGGTGAGGTATATTCAAAAGCCTGGTATATGTGTTCATGTGCAAAAAAAATAAATTCAGCTAGTAGAGGTAATTTAAAAAAAAATCATCCACAAATTACTCTAATTTGCAAATATTCAAAATACATGACATTAACATTTAACTTAGCGGGCTTACAGTAAGTGTAATCAGCTATTAGGGGGCAACATCAGAAAGAAAAGGATCCTACAAGTGTTAGCTTCAATTAAGCAATTTTCAATTGAAGTGCTAGTGCAGTTGCTTAAACTGCATAAGCGCAAATATTGCTACGTACACATTTATTTTTTTGATTTTTATGGACAGTTAAAACAGGTTTCTCTTAATCTATTGTATGTAAATTGAACATTTTATATTCTACATTTTGCATTCTTTGTCATTATACGTCTTTAATAAAGTATGCAAAAAAGGATGCGGTGACATAGTGAATGTGGAGGAAGAGAAAGCAGCTAGTAGAGGTTGTTCCAAAAGTATTAAAAAAGGACTTGATGTGGAATAAATGTATCCCTTCGTTCATTGTAATGCATCTCAACTTAACCCTAACCCTAATTTGTTCCAACTCTAATTGATCTAACCCTAATTGTGTCTAACCCTAATTGTGTCCAACCCTAATTTGGTTCAACCCTAATTTGGTCCAACACTAATTTGGTCTCACCCTAATTTTGTCTAAACCTAATTTGGTCCTACCTTAATTGGTCTACCTAATGTCCAACTCTAATTTGTATTAACACTAATTTTGTCTAACCCTAATTTTGTCTAACTAATTGTGTCTAACACTAATTGTGTCTAACCCTAATTGTGTCTAACCCTAATTGTGTCTAACCCTAATTGTGTCTAACCCTAATTGTGTCTAACCCTAATTGTGTCTAACCCTAACTTGGTCTAACCCTCATTTGTCCAACCCTAACCCTAGTTTTGTATTCCTCTTTGTCTGTAAACTCACAGTCGGTTGCCATTCCCACCGCGATGCACTTCTTGAAGCGACATTCCTGGCACTGGTTCCTCGTCACTTTGTCGATGACGCAATTTCCCTCGTATTTACAGGCGTACGTCGGGTTCAAGTTCTTCTGGATCGTCCGCCTGAAGAATCCCTGGAGATCAGACACGCATAAAACTCAGAATAACTTCAAAATAAAAAGCACCAAAATGAAGCTGCAAACATTCACTTGCAGAGGTGGGAAGTAGTGTAGTACAAATACTTCGTTACTGTACTTAAGTACATGTTCCTGGTATCAGTACTTTACTCCACTACTTATTTTTCTGATTACTTTTTACTTTGACTTCTTACATTTTGAACACAAATACCTGTACTTTCTACTTCTTACATTTTGAACACAAATACCTGTACTTTCTACTTCTTACATTTTGAACACAAATACCTGTACTTTCTACTTCTTACATGTTGAACACAAATACCTGTACTTTCTACTTCTTACATGTTGAACACAAACACCTGTACTTTCTACTTCTTACATGTTGAACCCAAATACCTGTACTTTCTACTTCTTACATTTTGAACTCAAATACCTGTACTTTCTACTTCTTACATGTTGAACACAAATACCTGTACTTTCTACTTCTTACATGTTGAACACAAATACCTGTACTTTCTACTTCTTACACTTTGAACACAAATACCTGTACTTTCTACTTCTTACACTTTGAACACAAATACCTGTACTTTCTACTTCTTACATGTTGAACACAAATACCTGTACTTTCTACTTCTTACACTTTGAACACAAATACCTGTACTTTCTACTTCTTACACTTTGAACTCAAATACCTGTACTTTCTACTTCTTACACTTTGAACACAAATACCTGTACTTTCTACTTCTCACATGTTGAACACAAATACCTGTACTTTCTACTTCTCACATGTTGAACTCAAATACCTGTACTTTCTACTTCTTACACTTTCAACACAAATACCTGTACTTTCTACTTCTTACATGTTGAACACAAATACCTGTACTTTCTACTTCTTACATGTTGAACACAAATACCTGTACTTTCTACTTCTTACATGTTGAACACAAATACCTGTACTTTCTACTTCTTACATTTTGAACTCAAATACCTGTACTTTCTACTTCTTACATGTTGAACTCAAATACCTGTACTTTCTACTTCTTACATGTTGAACACAAATACCTGTACTTTCTACTTCTCACATTTCCCAAACAGGCTGGTTCCTTTAGTTTGAATGTGTGTTTGGTGGCGTGATCATTATTATTTAGAGTCATTGCGTGCCTATTGATTTGAACACGATCCGTGTATCCATCATTTCCTGGTCTTCTCTAAAGAAGAGGGACCAATGAACACGTTGTCATGTTGCCGTTGTTCAGCATGGAAACATTCATTAGCTAACAATGACATTATTGTTCTATTAATATAAAGGGAGGTCAGGTACTCTTTAAAACAGCTGCTAGTTATGGGTACTTTTTACTGAAGTACATTTCAAAGCCTCTTTACTTTTACTTGAGTAAAGAAGTTTAGTCAGTACTTCTACTTTTACCAGATTATTTTTAAACACGAGTATCTGTACTTCTACTTGAGAAAAGGATGTGTGTACTTTTGCCCTCTCTGTCCACTTGTTACCTTGCACCCTTCACAGGTGATGCAGCGATAGTGATAACCCGTGGCTTTGTCCCCGCACACGACACAGAGCTCATCCTTGTCCAGGTAACTGGGAATATACCCTGCAGAGAAGAAGGAATGGTTAATACCGCTTATAACTGACTGTGGTCAATAGAAAAATAAATCTCACTTCTGTAGCACTGGAAATGTGTGGGTTATTTGAAGCCAATGCAGAAGTAAGGTACATCATCCTTAACACTTAATAAGACAACAGAAAGGAACACAATAAATCAACATAATGGAATAATTGAAAGCTAAATAATTTACTTGCAGGATTTTGAGTTTCACGTTTGGTGCACTTGGGATTAAAGCGACAACTCACTAAAAGGTGATATATTGTTGTTTTATCCGGGAGTAAAAAATATCCCTAGATTTGTAGTCATGACTTCTGTTGTATGTTTTCATCCTGGATTTTATTTGATGTTGACCAAAAGAAAACCATTAAATTCAGAGGAGATTTTAATATAGACAGTTTTAATTTATATTTTTGGATATATAGGTTTGTCTGTTGGTCTGCGGGAAAAACTACTAGCCCAGGTTTAATGAAAATTGGTGGAAAAGTGTAGCATGGACCAAGAGATAAACCATCACATTTTGAAGAGGATACTTTATTTTTCTTGCACAATAAACTATAAGATTCTTTGAAGAGCACCAATTCCCGCCAACGCCATGCCCTATCATCGATTGTTAACAATATTTAAATATATTTTGTGTATCCTCTTCAAATGTACATGGTTTCTTTCTTTGCCCATGCTTCACTCTGTCACCGATTTACATGATGATTGGTGTTTTTCCTGCAAACAAAGAACCAGAACCAAAATAACTCAGATAAGGAGGTTTCTGGTAATGTTTGTTTGTCGGTCTGCAGGAAAAACGACTTGACCAATTATTATGTAAATTGGTGGAAAAGTGTAGCATGGCCCAAGAGAAAGACCACCTAATTTTGAAGAGGATACACAAAATATTTCAACTTATTTCACCATTGCGAGGTAGAGAATGGCGGGTGTCTGCGAATGCTCTTCCAGTTTACATTTATTTTTGTTGTTGCTTCTTAAAGTGGACCTATCATGCTATATTATAATAATATAGTGTAGGACCATACCTATATAAGGCATATTTATACTTTTTTTTCCTTCAAAATACCAAACAGATCATGCATTTTAGCCATGCCTCATTTCGCTCAATTTGACATTTTTTATCCCTGTTTTTGCAAGGGCTGATTCAGTGAGAACAGCACCACCTACAGGCCTGGCATATGTACTACAGCGTCTCCAGCGCTTTCGAACGGCAATGTCCGTGGCTGTCTCCTCCTGATTGGTGGAGTTGGCCCAATAGCCGTAGCGCCACCCTTTACGTGAACCTCATCATGACACAAGAGAGGACGGCAGCACTGTAATTTCCCGTGTTCATTGAATGCAACAGAGGCATGACACCAGACCAATCAGAGAGTTGCATGGAAATAAACGTGTGCTTGTGTCATTCAAGCTCGGCTCTGTGTGTGGGTGTGGCAATAGCGCATGTGAGAGAGAGAGAGGGAGAGAGGGAGGGAGGGACCGCTGCCAGCAGGGACCGTGTTGTTAGCATCTGGTTAGCTAGCTGCACTAACGGACATATGGAGCTGTTTGTTCCACAAGAAGCTGGAGGAGAGTCCTCTCCTCTCAGACTGAGAGACTCAGGTGAGCTAAAGGACTCTCTGAGTGTTTATAATACATAACTTTAGTCTAAGTTATCTCAGTGGGTCTCAAACGGTTGGTCACAAATTATTCAAAAGATTATTTCCGCGGCACACCTTCATATGATCATTATAGTTATTAAAAAAATAAGAGATAAAGGAAAAACAGTTATGAAACAGGACAGTGTTCAAATCTGGATCAGTTTTTATCAGATCCGTTGCAGCCCCTTTTTTAGAGATTTGGGTATGGAGGAAAATAGAGAGGGTTGTGTTTTCTGACACTTAGTGAGTTCCCTGGAACACCGGGGACACATATTCATGTATACAAGACGTACAAAAGTGCATTTTGCATGATAGGTCCCCTTTAAAATAAACTTGAAACTGTTTAAACAAGAGGGGATCAAAGATAGACTTAGGTAGCTATGTTTGTACTTTACATACTGTATATCAAATGTTCCTTTTTGTACATTTGGTGGTTGATTATCAAAAAGCAACGCATGGAGTTTTTACTTTGACTAGTTTTTGTTATTATTTACTCAACAAAGAGGTTTCTCTTCTGTTTGTCTGTAGAAAAAGCTACTTGTCTGATTTTCTGATTGGTGGAAAAGTGTAGCATTGGCCATGAAAGAAACCATTTAATTTTGAAGAGGATACACAACATATTTAGTTAACATTGGTATGGCAATGATGTCAACTCTGTTACTTCTTTACCATTTGAAATTGGGTATCAAAGATAAATCTAAGAAGCTCTGTCTATTCTCTACATGTTGTTTATCAAATGTTCCTTTGTGTAAATGTTCTGATTGATTATCGAAACATGGAGTTTTAAAAGTAGCTTAACTCCTGCCTAGCAACAGCCTCCATACATAGCTTGTTAATATCGTGCCTCAACACCTGGCCCAATATTGGGATTGGGCTTAATGAGCTCAGTGCTTTATATTTAAAAAATCTGATCAATACCTTTTATTCGGGTGTTTTATTAATCGGCCTTCTGTTGCCTCACTATCAATCAATACTAACTCTGAGCATCAGAAGCACCAGAGCCGATCGGCCGTATGACGCATTAAATCTTGGATTTACGCTTATTAATTATAATGAACAAATCCGAGACTTCATTGATCGAATAATCAATGAAGTCTCCTGGAACCAGCTTTCCGGTCATATAGAGTCGTGCAGAGTACTTAAAAACCAACCTGTTTCCAATGGACGTTGGCCAATCATACAGAACAATAAACACATTCTCACTTCTGTACGTAGAAATTGGAAAGCTTTGGCTGATTAAAAGTTATAAAAGATGTATTTGTAGGATCTTTGAGAGTACTATGAGCATTATACACGTTTTACACACTGTTATGTCACTACCTCATTACCTTTATCTGCTAACGTCGGACATTCTGCTACTTATATCTCTTCCATGGCTGTGAACTTATCTGATTTTCCATCAAAACATGTCCTTGCCTCTTTATTATTTTACATTTTCCCCGCAGCAGAATGAACTATGGATTTCTGATTTCTGATTCTATGCTTGAATGCACTCATTGTTACTCAATTTGGATTAAAAGCGAGTGAATTCTTACGCAACTAGTCAATCTTAAATCTTCATTCTCGTAAGTATATCACCTGCAGAGGTCAGTTTCCTTTACTTTTAGGTGTACACAATTATAAAAGAATGGCTTTTCCCAAGAGGCAAATCACAGTTTTTATATATAATGTTGCAAAAAACGCTTAAAAAATACATTTCTCTGCTGTTTGTTCCTCTGCTTTTCCCTGTGTCTAACATGTGTTTCATTCATATTGAGGTTGGAGCTTCAAATAAACCCAGTGGGATTTCTGCCTCTTTCTACACAAAGATGCTAAATAAATAATACATATAAAAGTAAATGATGTAATGTAATGGAAGAGTTACCAAAAATACGACAAAAAAGTTTACAATCCTGAAACAATCAGGCAATTAAATGTTACTACCCCAACAAATCGTTGTTATCTGCTTTTCTATTGTTAAATTGTGTATTTTTTTTACAATATATATTTTTTAATAATAATAAAAAATAGAAAAAAGTTAAATATAACATTTTTAGAAATTGAGAAATTAAGAAATTTAGAAATTACAAAATCAACAAAGAAAAAGAATCTAAATAAATAAATGTAATTGAAGCGTCTTCTCTAATTCCCCCAAACGAACCCTTAAAAGTCACAACCCTGAGAGACGACCCTCTAAACAATTCAACGTCAACCCCAAAATGGAATCCTCTCTGTCTTTCCCCCGGACGCCATACCTTTCCTGTTTTCTCCCTGCATCCACTGCAGGTGAGCGAAGTCAGGTGAGATCTCGGGGAAGAACTCTGGCTGCTGCTGGTGTTGGAAGTGACTCAGAGGAACGTCCCGGCCGCAAAACTCGTTCTTAAACGCCGGAGGCCCGCTGGCGAACGCACAAGAAAACTGCTGGCTTGGCGGCCATGTTTGTTCCATGCAAGGCGGCTGGTGGTGAAGAGGCTGGGAATCACAGTATCCAAACCCAGGATCTTCACCTTGAAACATGCAGTGTTCCCCCCCTCCGAAACCTCCACCCTGCACCGCGAAACCTCCGTTCCCAGAGTGGGGCATCTCGTACATGTCTGGGATGCAGAAGTTCATCATGGAAGAAGCATAAACAACGTCTAATATATCTTCGTTGTGAGAAAGAGCCTCGAGGAGAGAATTAACAACGTCCAAAAGAGCATCAACAACGTCTAAAAGTTTTCCGGTGTGAGATAGAGCATCGAGGAGAGCATACACGACGTCTAAAAGATCTCCGGTGTGAGAAAGAGCATCGACAACGTAAAAAAATAACGTCTAAAAGTGATCAGGTGAGAGAGAGTCCATCAAGGAGAGCATACACAACGTCTAAAAGATCTCCGGTGTGAGACAGATGATCCAAATGTTGAAGTGTCTTTTTATCCCATCCTGGTGTTCAGACAACACCTAGAAATTGCCCCGCCCGCCTCGACACGGTCGAATTGGGAAGCAGAGATTTAAAGCTCTAATCTTACACTCCACAAATCCGCAATGTGTCACAGACAGAGGAGATGTCACGACTAAGACTTTGCATTATTGCACTGACATGTAATCACCGACTGGAAAACAATTACTCAAAAACAACGAGTAAGGAAAAAAGTTCCCGGAGAAGTTTTGACTTACTTCTATCTACATCATCATCATCATCATATCATACGATGATTTAGTCTTTTACACCCGATACTTAACCGTTAACCTTTAATCCTACGTGTTAACCCACTCTGATCCTTAGGGTGTTTTGAAGAGAATCCGTAAAGAAGATCTCGAAGGAAGACGACATATAATTGACATTATATATGACACTAAAGGGATTTTCTGAGGGGTTTTGTGTTTTTATGGTCTTAACCGTAACTTGTATTTAACTCTTACTGAAGACGATTAAGAGAGTTTGAACGCTAATTAGTTAAAAGGGTTTTAATGTGGGGACGACTGGGAGTAAACACATAAAAAAGTACAAAAATAAAATAATAAATAGCTTAATTTTTCTTTCTGGGCAAAGCAAATTAAGTGGATATACTACAATATTAATTATGGTTAGGAATAAGTTGTGCAGATTGTCCAATGCAACTTATAATAAGTGTACATTGACACAAGCATGCGAACACTCTTCACTGACACAAAAATAACAAATGTCATTGAGTTTTTAAAAGTAGCTTAACTCAACAGCAGCCACACATAGCCGGTTAATTGAGTGGCTTATAAATAAAACAAATCTACTAAAATAAAAAAATATAATCAATATGTTTTGGCGGCATGATGTTAGCCACGCGAGCGACACATGTTTCAGATAATACACCGATTATCTGAACAACGACTCATATTGATTAGACTGCCTGGTCAATAAAAATCGGGATAAGCCTCGAGGTGAGGAAGTGTCTCGGCGGGGATTTAAAATGCCGCCTTCACTGTCCCGCTCATTCATTCTGCTGTTTATAAAGGGCTTTCTGGATGTAATATTACATAAAAACACAGATAAAACTACAGAATGACAAAGGAGGGGTTCCTCTTTATAATTATTATTAGTTTTTAAGTTATGTTGTGGATAAAACTACGGTTAGGGTTACCAAAACATATTTATCCGGTTTGCTTATTGCTATTATAATCATATTTATTTACACAAGGACACGCACGCACGCACGCACGCACGCACGCACGCACGCACGCACGCACACACTTAATTAATTAATTATTCTCGTTCCTCTCTTTTCTGTTACTGTTTTTATTATTACTATTTATATTTCTTATTTTATGAACATTTCATCACTGCTTTCATGTTATTTGATACTTTTTTCACTGAATTGAGAGAAACTTGTGAAATGTCATTAATAATAACAATTAATTGCATTTATTTTAGCGCTTTTCCAAGGTACTTATTACACATATCACACATGTAATACATTGAATACTGTGGAAAATCCCAACAGGAGCAATTCAGGGTGAAGTGTCCCATTGTCCCTGAGTTGAAGCACAATAAAGATCGTCTGCTTTTTATATATTTACTCTCACTTTTTCTGCACTTTCTTTGACTTTTTACACATTTATTTATCTGTTTTCTTCAATACTATAAATTAAACTTCAGTGAAATATATTACATCTTCACTATGGTAAATGGACTGTACTTATATAGCGCTTCATCCAGTCTTTAAGATCCCTCAAAGCGCTTTACATACTACATGTCATTCACCCATTCACACCCATTCATACAGAGCAGTGTACCTTACTCTAGGAACTAACATTCACACAGAACAGTGTACCTTACTCTACAAACTAACATTCACACAGAGCAGTGTACCTTACTCTAGGAACTAACATTCATACAGAGCAGTGTACCTTACTCTAGGAACTAACATTCACACAGAGCAGTGTACCTTACTCTAGGAACTAACATTCACACAGAGCAGTGTACCTTACTCTAGGAACTAACATTCATACAGAGCAGTGTACCTTACTCTAGGACATAACATTCACACAGAGCAGTGTACCTTACTCTAGGACCTAACATTCACACAGAGCAGTGTACCTTACTCTAGGACCTAACATTCACACAGAGCAGTGTACCTTACTCTAGGACCTAACATTCACACAGAGCAGTGTACCTTACTCTAGGAACTAACATTCATACAGAGCAGTGTACCTTACTCTAGGAACTAACATTCACACAGAGCAGTGTACCTTACTCTAGGAACTAACATTCACACAGAGCAGTGTACCTTACTCTAGGAACTAACATTCACTACAGAGCAGTGTACCTTACTCTAGGAACTAACTTCACACAGAGCAGTGTACCTTACTCTAGGAACTAAACATTCACACGAGCAGTGTACCTTACTCTACGGAAACTAAACATTCACACAGAGCAGTGTACCTTACTCAGGAACTAACATTCAACAGAGCAGTGTACCTTACTCTAGGAAACTAACATTCATCACAGAGCAGTGTACCTTACTCTAGGAACTAACATTCACACAGAGCAGTGTACCTTAACTCTAGGAACTAACATTCACACAGAGCAGTGTACCTTACTCTAGGAACTAACATTCATCACAGAGCAGTGTACCTTACTCTAGGAAACTAACTTCCTACAGAGCAGTGTACCTTACTCTAGGAACTAACATTCACACAGAGCAGTGTACCTTACTCTAGGAACTAACATTCACACAGAGCAGTGTACCTTACTCTAGGAACCTAACATTCACAAGAGCAGTGTACCTTACTCTAGGAACTAACATTCATACAGAGCAGTGTACCATTACTCTAGGAACTAACATTCACACAGAGCAGTGTACCTTACTCTAGGAACTAACATTCACACAGAGCAGTGTACCTTACTCTAGGAACTAACATTCACACAGAGCAGTGTACCTTACTCTACGAACTAACATTCACACAGAGCAGTGTACCTTACTCTAGGAACTAACATTCACACAGAGCAGTGTACCTTACTCTAGGAACTAACATTCATACAGAGCAGTGTACCTTACTCTAGGAAACTAACATTCACACAGAGCAGTGTACCTTACTCTAGGAACTAACATTCATACAGAGCAGTGTACCTTACTCTAGGAACTAACATTCACACAGAGCAGTGTACCTTACTCTAGGAACTAACATTCACACAGAGCAGTGTACCTTACTCTAGGAACTAACATTCACACAGAGCATTGTACCTTACTCTAGGAACTAACATTCACACAGAGCAGTGTACCTTACTCTAGAACTAACATTCACCACAGAGCAGTGTACCTTACTCTAGGAACTAACATTCACACAGAGCAGTGTACCTACTCTAGGAACTAACATTCACACAGAGCAGTGTACCTTACTCTAGGAACTAACATTCACACAGAGCAGTGTACCTTACTCTAGAACTAACATTCACACAGAGCAGTGTACCTTACTCTAGGAACTAACATTCACACAGAGCAGTGTACCTTACTCTAGGAACTAACATTCACACAGAGCAGTGTACCTTACTCTAGGAAACTAACATTCACACAGAGCAGTGTACCTTACTCTAGGAACTAACATTCACACAGAGCAGTGTACCTTACTCTAGGAACTAACATTCACACAGAGCAGTGTACCTTACTCTAGGAACTAACATTCACACAGAAGCAGTGTACCTTACTCTAGGAACTAACATTCACACAGAGCAGTGTACCTTACTCTAGGAAACTAACATTCACACAGAGCAGTGTACCTTACTCTAGGAACTAACATTCACACAGAGCAGTGTACCTTACTCTAGGAACTAACATTCACACAGAGCAGTGTACCTTATCAGGAAACTAACTACACAGAGCAACTACTCTAGGAATAACATTCACACAGAGCAGTGTACCTTACTCTAGGAATCTAACATTCACACAGAGCAGTGTACCTTACTCTAGGAACTAACATTCACACAGAGCAGTGTACCTTACTCTAGGAACTAACATTCACACAGAGCAGTGTACCTTACTCTAGGAACTAACATTCACACAGAGCAGTGTACCTTACTCTAGGAACTAACATTCACACAGAGCAGTGTACCTTACTCTAGCGAACTAACATTCACACAGAGCAGTGTACCTTACTCTAGGAAACTAACATTCACACAGAGCAGTTGTACCTACTCTAGGAACTAACATTCATACAGAGCGAGTGTACCTTACTCTAGGAACTAACATTCACACAGAGCAGTGTACCTTATCTAGCGAACTAACATTCACACAGAACAGTGTACCTTACTCTAGGAACTAACATTCACACAGAGCAGTGTACCTTACTCTAGGAACTAACATTCACACAGAGCAGTGTACCTTACTCTAGGAACTAACATTCACACAGAGCAGTGTACCTTACTCTAGGAACTACACATTCATACAGAGCAGTTTACCTTACTCTAAGGAACTAACATCTACAGAGCAGTGTACTTACTCTAGGAACTAACATTCACACAGAACAGTGCTACCTTACTCTAGGAACTAACATTCCACAAGAACATTGTACCTTACTCTAGGAACTACCATTCACACAGAGCAGTGTACCTTACTCTAGGAACTAAATTCACACAGCAGCAGTGTACCTTACTCTAGGAACTAACATTCACACAGAGCAGTGTACCTTACTCTACGAACTAACATTCACACAGAGCATTGTACCTTACTCTAGGAACTAACATTCACACAGGCAGTGTACCTTACTCTAGGAACTAACATTCACACAGAGCAGTGTACCTTACTCTAGGAACTAACATTCACACAGAACAGTGTACCTTACTCTAGGAACTAACATTCACACAGAACAGTGTACCTTACTCTAGGAACTAACATTCACACAGAGCATTGTACCTTACTCTACGAACTAACATTCACACAGAGCAGTGTACCTTACTCTACGAACTAACATTCACACAGAACAGTGTACCTTACTCTAGGAACTAACATTCACACAGAACAGTGTACCTTACTCTACGAACTAACATTCACACAGAGCAGTGTACCTTACTCTAGGAACTAACATTCATACAGAGCATTGTACCTTACTCTAGGAAACTAACATTCACACAGAGCAGTGTACCTTACTCTAGGAACTAACATTCACACAGAACATTGTACCTTACTCTAGGAACTAACATTCACACAGAGCAGTGTACCTTACTCTACGAACTAACATTCACACAGAGCAGTGTACCTTACTCTAGGAACTAACATTCACACAGAGCAGTGTACCTTACTCTACGAACTAACATTCACACAGAGCAGTGTACCTTACTCTACCCTAACCCCTAACCCTA